AAAAAAATATGTAAAAACGAAAATATAGAAACATAAGATAATTTTTTATATAAAAAAGAAATTAGTATATTCGATATTGAGAAAATATTTAGATATATAATTTTTTTTATATAAACGAAAGTATTTAGATAGAGAGAATATATATATATATATATATATATATATATATATATATATATGAGTGTGTACTTCATTTTTATTTATTCGGCCTATATTAAAAAGAATGCATGTTAGGAAGGTCATCCAAAATCATTTTTGTTTCATTTTTTGTGTTTGAACCTCGTACTGTAGCTTTAAACCAAAATTAACCACTTAAGATGATAAGATTCTTTCACAAGCATTTTGTTTTGTCACACAGACAAACACATGTGAGTTTTCCTGTAACTGAAATTAACTTTCACTACGAAATCTAAGGTTGTATCTCCCTACAAAAATGTTCTCCTGCAGACACAAACTCTTGTTAACACTTGGGCACAGCTCCTTCTGAGTGAGTTACATAAGGTGTAATGAACATAAGACCTTTGCCAAGAGTAACCATCTTAGGAAATTACTGTACAACTAACTCAACGGGGATTTCAGGCATTTTTCTTTCATTTTTTTTTTTTTAAATTACAGGCATATATAACGCATACTCAGTCATTAATTAAGAAGCTTATGTGGTGCAAGGCATAAGGGCATAAAAATGGATGTGCAAGAATTTTAATCTAGTCAAAATATCTCCCACTCAAAATTAATTAACACGAAAACTAAGCTAAATATATTTTTCTTATTTTCTTTTTAAATGAGGATACAAAACGTTAAGTTTGAATCTAGCCAATACCTTCAGTTACTCCACGCTATCTAGCTCACCTCTAATTACTTAAATTAATTCTAAGCATGACGTTATGAGTTTTAATTATTATTTCAATTTGATTGATTCATCCGCACGCAGCTAGATGCATATATATAGAATTTTCGGTAGAACAAATGATACACGAATGTAAGAAAGTAAAAAAAAAAAAAGAAAAACTGAAAGCAGCGGAAGATAATCTCGTAGTCTAACAGATCCGGAGCTGTATACTTAACCAAAAAATGATGTTAATCATTCTTCAGAAAATCATAATGTCTATTTAAGCAGATGTCTAATAATTGAGTATCAAAATTCACCAGAGGCACCTATTTCTTGTTTACAACATGAAATTTGAAGCACGTACTGTACATGACATGGAGTTTCTGCCTTAATTAAGATTTACCTCCCATCCAACAAAAATGAAAAATACTGTGTAATGTTTAGTAAGGAAATTGTGTATTTGTGTTGTTGAATAATGATGTTTTTATTTTAATTTGATGAACTGATAATGATATTGTTTTAGCAATAATTAAGTACAGTTAATAACTATTTGTAATTAATTAAATTCTGTCAAAGATTCTCATTAATCGCACATCAAAAGTCTTCTCCAAGCAGCCAGTGAGAAATTCGTTTCTCACGTGTGAAAATGATCACAAAGATTAGGCAATCAAAGTAGAAAAATGTGTATCTCAAGCAAGGAATGACACGTTCAGAAAGGAAGTTAATCAACGGTTAATTGTTGAAGGTTTTTGACAAATAGGGAAGCTTTGGTACATGTACATCATGCCTATCTAATTCTGGTTACTTTTTTTTGATCTGCCAGTTTGTGACTTTAATTATAAGCAGCTTTAGCTGCTATATATAGTGTCCTGTGTGACCCTCTTTTTGATAAAATTTTGACCGAAACATTCAAACATAAGATTAAAAAGCAAATAATGGAGAAGCTACTATATATTAATTTACCTTATTAATTCAGACATTATACTTTACACTCTGTAGTTACTAGTTACATGATTTAGCTAGCTTTGGTGATAGCCGTATACCATGAGAAAGTGGATTTTAAAGAAATCCTTGAAGACTATATTGCTTATAGAGAGAAACATATCAATGATTCTTAAACCAATAGATCGAGTCGTTCAAGTAACGGAGAATGGAGGTAGCATACAGATAATTCTAAAATTGAATTACCATGTTGTGATCGTAATTTTGATAGATAAAGAATATTAATATTTCTTAAAATTAAAGTTGGTTGCTTTTGCAATATTTCCGTAATCAGGTAATATATATGTACAGAGTGTTAAAGGTATCAATGAAACAACTTCTAGAGGCAAATGATGGAAAAACAGCTGTATTAATGTCAATCACTGAAAAGAATAAACCAGACAAAATAGTTAATAGAGATCACTCCAAGTGGATGCTATTAGAGCAAACATGAATAATCCCAAAGGCTATATCTTCCAATTGATGGGTGCTAACTCTATTTTGATTCTATGCATATGTCACCCATATTTTTCAAAGAATCTTACGTTCAATTTTGCTTTCACATCAGATATACTTTTTGAAAAGATAATGGAAGGAAATATATAAGCCAAAAATATCGACATTAATTCCAATAAAAGTGCGTTGAAATTTCAGAAGAATTCCATCTGTAATGTTAGAAGTTCATAACCCGAGTCTTCACTTTGTAGAAGGTTTTATTTAATCATCATCTTTAACTCAAGTGTTAACTTTTTAGAATAGTGGATTAAGCTTAACTCAATCCTACAAAACTGGCTTGTAAGATGAGGGTTGCTAAATGGTGGGTGACCCTTTTAATAATCTAGGATTAGCAGGACTTAGGTTTTTTCCAATACACCCCTTCACTTCCAACACTATTGGGCTTGGTATGTGGATAAATGGTAGATGACCCATTTTTAAGAATCTAGGATAGATCTGATACTATCTTAGAATAGTGGATTAAGCTTAACTCAACCCTACAAAACCGGTTTGTAAGGTGAGGGTTGTTTTCCACTTCTATACTATTCAGTTGCCTAATCTCTATTCGATGTGGGACTTGAGTTTTTTCCAATATAACTTCGCAGCTTTTTTCTCTCTAATATCTGGTCCAATACTAAAATTAAATTAAAAAAAAAATGAATTGTTAATTAATCTTTTAAGAGAATTCAATTCACTTCACATGCAATATTTTTTTTATATATAAAACATAAATACCATTCACTTAAAACAATCATACTAGTCAGATAAAACTATTATAAAAATAATTAAATTTTCTCTTTGAAATATTTAATGTAGTTATATAGTTAATATTCAAACCTAAGACCACATGTAATATACTATTAAGTGTTTTCATGCATTATATACACATATTTTTTTAATTTAAACGAGAAATATAAATAGTTTATATTTAAGAAAAAAGTAAATTGTAAAAAGAATTAAAATTTTAATTTAATTTAGAGTGTAAATGGTAAATATTTCAAACAAAAAATAAATTAAAATTTTAAATAGTAACTAAAATTAAAGTTTGAGAGTTTAATTTGAAATCATAAAATAAAAATAAATTTTAATATAAATGGGAAATATAATTATAAAAGGAAATTTTTCAATAATTATTAATTTAACAATTTCTAAAATAAAAAACATTAAATAATAATTAGGTCATGTATCACGAAGAAAAAAGAGTATGACAAAAGACATCTTAGTATTCAAAGTAATATATATATATATATATATATATATAT